GAAAAAAAGCAAACTAAGCCAAAAGTTAGTAAGAGGAAGGAAATGACAAAGATTAGAGCAGAAATAAATGAAACAGAAACTGAAATAGAAACTAAATTAGAAAAGATCGATGACTCTAAGAGCTTTTTTTTTTAAAAAAAAAGATAAACAAAACACAAAACTTTAGATAGACTTACCAAGAAATAAATAGGACTCAGAAAAAAATTAGAAAAGCAAGCAGAGATATTTCACTTAATACCATAGAAATATAAAGAATAGGAGCCATAAGAGGTTACTATTAACAAATATATACCAATGAACTTGACAACCTAGAATAAGTTGATAAATTCTTAGAAATATATAACATATCAACACTGAATAATAAGGAAATAGAAAATCTGAAGAGAGTAATTACTATTAAGGTGATTGAATTAATAATAAAATATTTCTCAACAAGGAAAAGTACAGAAGCAGATGGCTTCATGGGTAAAATCTACCAGATATTTTAATAAGAACACTAATTCTCACATTCTTCCCAAAAATAAAAAAGGAAGGAACACTTCCAAAGTAATTTTACAGTTTATTTGATACAACACAGAAAGCACAGAAAAGCAAAAATAAGCTTACACTAAAAACTTCTGTACAAGAAAGGAAACAAAGCAAAATTAAAAGGTAATTTAAAAAATAGGAGAAAATATTTGGAAATCATATATTTTATAAGGGGTTAATATCCAAAATATGTAGAAAACTCACACATCCCAGTAGCAAAAATACCATTCATTAAAAAAATTGGTATAAAAAATGGTAAGACCTCTGAAGAGATATTTCCCAAAGAGAACATGCAAATGGTCAACAGGTACGTGAAAAAGGGGTTCAGCATCACTAATTATCAGGGAAAAGCAAATCAAAACTACAATGAAATATCTTAATCTAACATCTGACAGAATGCCTATTAGCAAAAGGACAAGAGATAAATTTGGCTAGGATTTGAGGAAACGAGGATACATATAGTATTGGTAAAAATGTAAATTGGTATAGCAACTATGGAAAGACTGTGGTTTTCTTGAAAAATTAAAAATAGGGACTTCCAGTCAAGATGGTGGTATAGGCAGGCATGGCTTGCTTCCTCCCATGACCACATCAAAAATTATAACAAAAATAAAGAACAACCATTACTTAGAACTGTCAGAAATCAAGTTGAATGGAAGTCTGACAACTATGGAATTAAAGAAACCACATCCATCTTGACTGGTAGGTGGGCTGCAAATGCAGAAAGGGCTGCTCCCACACCCAGGTGTGGTGGATAAAAATCCGGGAGGGATATCTTGGGAGTGAGGAGTCCCAGCCCCACACCAGGCCCTGCAGCTCAGTGTTTCAGGGCCAGGAAGATAAGCCTCCACATCTTCTGGATGCAAAATCTAGCAGGGATTGAGTTGGTGGAAGAAATTGATGGAGCCCTGGGAGTTCCTCTTAAAGGATACACACATGGACTCACCTACTCGGACTCATTCCCTCTGTGCTCCAACTGTGGGGTAACAGCTTGAAAAACACTAGTGGCATACAGGGAGAAACTGAAGTGTCTGGCATCAAGGTGACCAGAGGCCATTGTCCTTTTCCTGAACTCTCCCCACACAGAGCTGGCAAGCTGGTGCCATATCTGAGACTCTATCAACATTGTTAACATTGTTTGACCTACCTTGGAGATCCTCTGAGACACCTCCCATCCCAACTTATAGGCCCACCCAAGCTATTTTTCCATATGAATGGCAGGTCTTGGGTTATGCTTCACAACTTCCTAAATCCTCTCAAACAAGCAACAACTTGCTTCAGTGAGCCCCAGACCTGGCACCAGCAACAGCCAGCCTAGGTTCACAGCTTGACTTCCCCTGGCAATCTCTAAGACCAGCACAAGTAGTAGCCATCTCAGATAGCTTTTTAGGTCAGGCAGGGTAGTCCAGGGGAAAACACATGTTGGGGCTGACCTTGCCCTGCACCATCTGGGTAACTGTGGAGCCCACGTACCCAGTGTGTAGCTACAGGCCACAATGGAGCATCATTATCCTGTCCCTGCCCATATGGTCCTCCACAGAGGGCAGAGGGTGGTGGTCAGTGGTAACAGCCAGTCCTTGTGGCAGACTGGCCTGGGTAAATCCCTCCCATTGACCTGCTAGCAGCAATCAAAGCTCAATGACAAGTAGAGAGTGTACTCAGCCCACACAAAGGGCATGCCTTGAGTACTCTGCTTCGGTGATAGGGGAGGCTGTGCCACTAGATCCTACAGCATACCTACCACGTTACACCATACTACCAAGACATGGAGTCATAACAGCTGTACCTAATACATAGAAACAAACCCAGGGAGGTTACCAAATGGAGGAGACAAAGAAACAAGGCCCAATGAAAGTACAGATAAAAACTCCAGAAAAAGAGCTAAACGAAATGGAGATAACCAATCTATCAAAAGCGGAGTTCAAAATACTGATTATAAGGATGTTCAGAGAGTTTAGTGAGGATCTCAACAGCATAAAAAAGATCCAGTCAGAAATGAAGCATACAATAATTGAAATAAAGAATAATTTACAGGGAAACAACAGTAGAATGGATGGTCCTGATACTCAAATCAATCATTTGGAAGGAACATAAGAAAGCAAAAAACAACCAATCAGAACAAAAAGAAAAGAGAATCCAAAAAAAATGAAGATAGTATAAGCAGCCTCAGGGGCAGCCTCTGGGACAACCTCAAGCAGTCCAACATTCTCATCATAAGAGTGCCAGAAGGAGAAGAGAAAGAGCAGCAAATTGAAAATCTAATTGAAAAAATAATGAAAGAAAGCTTCCCTAATTTGGTGAAGGAAATAGATACGCAAGTCCAAGAAACACAGAGTTGCAAACAAGAGGGATGCAAAGAGGCCCACTCCAAGACACATCATAATTAAAATGCTAAAAGTTAAAAGATAAAGAGAGAATCTTAAAAACAGCAGGAGAAAAGAAGTTAGTTACCTATGAGGGAGTACCCATAAGACTTTTAGCTGATTTATCAAGAGAAGCTTTGCAAACTAGAAGGGACTGGCAAGATATATTCAAAGACATGAAAAGCAGGGACCTACAGCCAAGATTGCTCTACCCAGCAAAGATGTAATTTAGAATCAAAGGGCAGATAAAGAGGTTCCCAGACAAGAAAAAAACGAAAGGAGTTCATCATCACCAAAACATTATTATTTGAAATGGTTTATATAAAGGGACTTATTTAAGAAAAAAAAGATAAAAACTATGAATAATAAAGAGGCAATAAATACATATCTATCAATAATTAAATTTAAAAATCAAACTAAGTAAATAAGAAGAACAGAGACAGAATCATAGATACAGAGTTTGTTTTGATGGTTGCCAAATGGAAGGCAGGTGTGGGGGAATGGATGAAGAAGTGAGCGTATTAAGAAGTAAAAATAGGTAGTCACAGGATAGTCATGGAGATGTAAATTTACAGTATAGGAAATGGAGCAGACAAAGAATTACTGCACATGGCCCATGGACATGGACAGTGGCGGGGCAATTGCCTGAGAGAGTCGGGGTGCTGGGTAAAGGGGACTAAGGGGGTGAATAAGGACAATTGTAACAGCATAATCAATATAATATAATTTAAAAAATTAAAAATAGAACTATCATATGATCCAGCAATCCTGGTTTTAGGTAAACTATATTCAAAAGAAAAAAAACAGGATATTGAAAAGATATCTATAATCCATTGTTTATTGCAGCATTATTCACAATAGGCAAGGCATAGAATATTATTCAGTCATGAGAAAGAAAGAAATCATGCTGTTGGTTACAACATAAATGGACCATGAGGTTATTATGCTAAGCTAAATAAGCCAGACACAGAGAAAGACAAATAGTACATACCATCATATATGGAATTTAAAAAAAGTAAACATAGAAAAAGAGTAGAAAAGTGGTTGCCAGAGGTCAGGGGTGGAAGAAATAGGGAGATGCTCATAAAAGATTCTCAACTTTTATCTACCAGGTGAAAAAGGTCTGAGGGTTTAATGTATAACCTAGTGACTAGAGTTGATAACTCAGCATTGTATCATTGAAATTTGCGAAGAGCAGGGCTTATATGTTCTCTCACTTACAAAAAAGATAAATATGTGAGGTGATGGGTATGTTAATTAACTATATGAACAGAATCCCTTCACAGTGTATATGTATATCAAATCACTGTGTACACTTTTAAATATCTTATAATTTAATATGTCAATTATACCTCATTAGAACTAAAAAAAATATATAGGGTTAGATCAACTTTTACTAATTTTACCTCAAGCTTAGAACTTGTGAAACTTACTATATAGAGTTAAACAATTTTAAGTCAAAATAGACATTGAATAAGACATTTGTTTTATGCTGCTGCCAATCAAATGGTAGACAAACAGGATGTCTAAGAGATAATAAAATAACTCAGTAAAGGATGCTTGTTTTGTAAATGTCTTAAAGATATGATAGCAATGAAAACATATTAGATTATTATTTTCCTTCACAAGGAATATCCTATATACTAACAACTCTTTTGCAATTTGGTACTCTGAGGCAATTTTCAGATACATTGGTAGTCCAATAAATTATTTGGACTACCAAATAAATTATTTGGACTATTAAACATACAAAATTTTTGGTCATTATTCTATAAACAGTGTACATGTCCTTTGTGCTCTTTTTGTCAGTCAGTTGTGTTGTTGGGAAGCATGTTCACCCATGGATCTTTATTAAAATTTTGCACAGACCTCGTGTGTGGCAGAAAACACTTGCTTTAATAGGTTGCGCAATCCCTTTTTATGCCAAGATATTAAATCCCGGGACCTCAGATGGGGAACTTTTTAAATGCTAGGGTGACAGCAAGTAAATGTTGGGTTTTACTGCAAATGTTGAAACACAAATTCACACTATTGAGGATTTTCTTCTTTCTAAGTTAGAATACTAGTAAAGATCCTTAAAACAAAAGAAAACAAACAGCAATAAGTAACCTTAGGCAGGGGTTTGGCAGGCTTGCAGTGGAATCCTCCAATAAAATCAAAATGTGGTAAGATTGGGTGAGGAAATTCAAAATCCCAATAGGTTCGAATGAGCCACATTTCAGCTTTCTCCATTAACTCAGATACTGTTGAGGGTCTACCTAAAGGGAAAAAAACAAACAGAAGGTAGAGGAAATGAGAGTATTTTAATGTAAATACTATACTAGGAAATTTCCTGAAAAGTGCTTGAAATAACATAGCCAAAATGTTTTGAAGTGTCTGTGGTTTGATAATACAATTATTTATACATTTGATAATACAATAATTTATACAATTATTATCCATATATAGACATAAATACATAAAATTTGCATGTTTTATGTTTATGTTCATATATATAAGACAAATTGCTAGAGAGAGACTTTCACCTCCAATGTGACATTCACAATCATAAACAATTATTAAATGTAAATAACAATAGAATTAAACATATTTGTTTACTCTGTAAAGCTACAGAAGCAACAGATGTAAATGTAAACATTACTTAAGCCCCTAAACAAGTAACCAAGGGAAACATGTTTCCTTAGAGTACACAGAGTAGTTTCTGCAATTTAGAAGCTACTCTCTTTATATTAATTTAACAAGAACTGTGAGGTTTTTGAAATTATAGCTCAATTCCTCAGACCTACAAATGCATTTGGTTCATTATAAGAACTTTATAATATTCGTTTATCTTTAATAATAATATTTGCAAATATTAGAAAGTTTTCATAAGATATGGACATAGGTTTCCTCCTTAATTTTGGTTCATTTTGTCTGTAATGGAGAGATATAATTAAAAAAATATAGACCACAAACTTGATTGTCCATACTGGAACAAGATTCTTGGCTTCAAAAACAAATGATTGGTAAGCACTTAGTGAATGAATATGTAATCATTAGAAACCTTGCATTATAAGTTCTTGAGCCTGGGATAGAATATCTCTCAACTGTAAAATAATTTTTTAGGCAATATGGCAAAAAGATTAATTTGAAATAAGATTATTTTAATTTAAAATTAATTTTAACTTTTAAATAAGGAAACTGAGGAGAAATAAGTGGGAACAATTAATTCAATGATCCATATACAGCTGTGCTAGAAATAAAGTAACTTAATCTACATTTCTGCTTTGATCAAGATATTTAGTGAAATTTCTAATGCCATTTTTTTAAAGAGGAAAAATTATAGTAAAATGGATTTGTTGGAAATAGATGCAGCATAGGGAATTTTTAAGGTAGTAAAACTACTCTTTATAATACATTTCAGTATAAATTTGTCAAAACCCATGGGGATGCATTAATATAATACCATGTGTGAACTACAACATAAACTGGACTTTGGACTTTGGATGATAATGATCTGCCAAAATAGGTTGAACGATTGTAACAAATATATCACTCTGGTGATATGTTGAAAATGAGGGAGTCTATGCATGTTTGGGGACAAAAGATATAGGGAAATCTTAATACTGCTGTGAACTTAAAAGAGCTTGAACAGTAAGTTTATGATTACCAATATTTTATACTGTTTAAGGAACAGTAAAGGAAGAATAAAACATTCTCTCAGAAAAGAAAACTAAATTATATTACAAACAAACAAAGGATAGATGTATAATTGCTTCTAGAACTTTTTAGTGCTTCAATTTGAGGTCTCTGATTTCAGGAGTGCCCTGTATTATTAATGGACCACAGGGTTAAAAATAACCTTGTAATTTAAGCATTTTTATATCTGTGAGATTGAAAAATCATTATATATTATTACTTAGTCATTTCTCTTAAGAAAGGCAAATTCCTCTGACTTTATATTTATACATATTTCCCAGGCACTAGCAAAGTTAGGGCTTTAAACTACCAATTAAAACATAACTTACCTAGTGTGTCAGTGTAAAACTGATCCCACTTCTTTTGATTGAATGTTTGGAACCAGAAGTCAAAATAAAGCGCATACAACATATTTTTTACCCTCTCCATGAACGTCATTTGATCACTTAATTCTGAGAAGATAACAGGTACGTAGGATGGAGGGAGTGGAAGTCCTCCACTATATCTTTCTATTTTATAGCCAGGAGAAAAGCGGAGACTGTACACAAGAGGTATTTTAAGTATCTCAGCCAGCAGCTCACCACAAAGTCCAATGGCATCTGCAAGAAGGACATCAAACCTTGTTTCTTGTAGTTTTGTCATAAGTTTCTTGTTCAAAACTGCATCTTTACAGAGCTTTTGCATAGAATCAGTATATTCCAAAACGATTTCTTGCATTAGTGAAAAGTAAGTCCAAAATGTATCTTTAGGCTGATGTGTCCATTTAGAGACCATGTTCATGAAAAGATTCTCAAACTCATCTTTTGTTAAGGATGAGGGATAAATCTCAAATTTAAAAGCAGATGGTTTATTGGGATCAACAAGAATCGAAGCTGTAGCTGTCAGGACAATCACTTCATGACCTCTCTGGACCAGTTCTTCCAGGATTATCTTCATATTGATCCAATGGCTGTATTCTGTGGGCCACACGAGCACCTTTCCACAACGCCCAGGGCTGAACTGACAACTCAGCTGTAATAGCAGCAGAACTGGAATCCACTTCATAGACATCCTGCAGGAACACAAGCCTTCTTTCTAAATTGATCCCTTCTGTTATTGCTCATGCTTATGTCCAAGAAGAAATCAATTGAAAATTAAAATATAACTTCTACGCCTCAAAGTAAATACATTATGCAAACAGAGCATTCGAATGGAAGTGGATAGAGCTAATATAGATGATCTTGTTTGTAAACATGTAGCTTTAATATCTGTTCTATGATTATGAGTGCTACCAATGACTTTGCATGTGCAAGTCTCCCATCTTATTTCTACTTAAAGGAAAGAATATAACCAGAATTAAGTAAATATAAAAAAGGGAAAGAAACCACTGGTATATTTAATAAATACAGCAAATCAGACATTTAAAAAGCTAGTACAAAGGTAAAAAGAAAAAACTGTATGTAAGCCAATGCAAAATACAATAAGTAATTAGGAGATACACAACACAAAAAGGTCTAAAACATGACATCAATAACAGAAAATGTGGAGGGAAAAGTAAAAACTAATTCTTATGGAATATATTTGAACTTAAATGCATATTAGCTTGAAGTAGATTGCTATAGATATTGAAGGATATAGATAAACTTTATGATGACTACAAACCAAAACTCTGAAAAATATATACAAATAACAAAGAAGGAATACAAACAAAACACTAAAGAAAAGCAGCAAACCACTAGGAAAGAGATCAAGAGAAGAAAAGAACAGAGGAGAACTATAAAAACAAAAAACTGTTAACAAAATGGCAATAGATACATACTTATCAATAATTACTTTAAATGTAAACAGATAATGTGCCAATAAGAATTTATAGAGTTGCTGAATGCATTAAAAAACATGTCCTATCTATATGCTTCTTACAAGAGACACTTCAAATTCAAAGATACATATAGACAGAAAATGGAAGGATCGAAAAAGGTATTCTATGCAAGTTGAAATGAAAAGAAAGCTCAGAGACCAATGCTTATATCAGACAAGGTAGACCCTAAAACAAAAATTTAAAAGAAAGGCAAAGGACATTACATAATGATAAAGAGGTCAATCTAAGTAGAGAATGTAACATTTGTAAATATTTTACACCTAACATTGGAGCACTTGAATATGTAAAGCAATTCTTAATGGATAACAAGTAAGAAATCTAAAGTAATACAATAATAGTAGGGGATTTTAATACCACACCCACATTAATGGATAGATCATCCAGACAGAAAAGTAATCAGCAAAGAATGGAATAAAATGTCACATTAGATCAGATCAACTTAATAGATATTTATGGAACATTTCATCCATAACATACAGAGTACACATTTTTTCAAGTGCCCATGGAACATTCAGCAGAATAGATCACATATCAGGCCAGAAAAAAGCCTCAAAGAATTTATGAAGATTGGAGTTATATCAAGCATCTTTTCTGACCACAATGGCATGAGACTAGACATCAACTACAGGAAGAAAACTGGAAGGAACATAAGTTCATTGACAAGCTCACAAGTTAGTGGAGACTAAATAACATGCTACTGAACAACTAATGGATCAGGAACAAGTCAACAAAAAAATCAAAAATACCCTAGAACAAATAAAAATGAAAACATAGCTTTTCAATATTTATGGGATGCAGCAAAAGCAATTCTAAGAGGAAAGTTCATAGCTATACAGGTCTACCGCAAGGAACAAGGAAAGTCCCACATACACAATCTAACTTTACGTTTAATGGAAATGGAAAATGACCAATGAAACCCCAAGTAAACAGAAGGAGGAAATAATTAAGATCATTGCTAAAATAAATGAAATAGACTGAGTTACACATTGTCGCACTGCCCGGCGTCTAGACAGGGCATGCCGCCGCCGGGGCGCGCTGCTTGGGTCACAGCTCGCTCTAACCGGGCCAGGCAGCAAACACCTCATAGTCAGTGACGGGGTGGGAAGGAGCGCGCTGCAGGGAGCACAGCGCTCCCTGAACCTGAGGGAAACTGGCAGGGGCCAGCTGAGATGGGAGCATGACTGAATCCTGTAGAGCCCATCCTGGGGTTGCCACGGATGAGGGGGGAGTAAACACAAATTGTTGCAAACACTTCTCTGCTGGGAGAGCAGACAGGGCACTTCCCTCCTACTGGAGAAGGCCATGGCACATCCCCCTAGTGGGGAAGGCCCTGTCGCCCTTTGTTCCAAGGCTTTTATTGAAAATCTTATCAGTGGGGCTAGGTAACAGGAGTGCATACGTAATCTCATTACATTAGTAAATTAAGTTTCATAGAGAATATATGCTTTTAAGAAAACAAGTGACAGGAATTCACTGATTTATATGGGTCTGAGAAGAGACCAGTATAAACAAAAGAGAATGAAGATAAGGGCAAGCGCCTTAATGATATAGGGTAAGGGGTGTAAATAATGTAAATGTCCTTCACAGCATGAGCTGACCAGAGATCTGAGGGAGGAACAGAGCACACTCTAAAGAATTTACTTTCAGGCCTGATTTCCTGGGGCCAAACCTGATTTACAGCGGACTCCTGAACTGCTTCGAGCCTGAGCCAGGTATAGGGAGGGAACCACCAAGAGATGAGTCCGCTGTTTGGCTGCAGTGAGGACTCCAGCCATGTCCATGCCAAGCTGAGAGGTGTAGGGGTCCTTCTCTGTGTCTCCCAATTTCTTGTCTGCTGTGTATAATCAGTCAATGCCTGGCTTAAGTTGCCCCTCCCCCGAGGGGTCTTACCCATTATTGACAAAGACCATCCATGGCAAAGCACAGAGGCAGAAGCTACGCCCTTGCTTAGGGCGGGGTGGGGTGGTGGGGGTCGGGCCAAGTCTCCTCAGGGGCCAGTTTCTCCAAGGCCTCCTGATTATTTCTAGCCTTGGACCTCCCCAGCCTGTTGGCAGGGTTACAGCTCCTGAAACCAGGTAGGGCATTTCCCAACAACATATCTAGCACAATGTCTGTGGAGCACTGAGGAAATTGTTTCCACTTGTTTCTCCTCAGTTTCTTTATTTAAAAATTAAACTGTTTTGCTATATTACCTGAGGGAATCTTGACAATTGAGCAGTATAATGGCTCTATCCCAGATTCAGGAACCTATTATTTGAGGTTTCTAATGATAACATTCCTTCGCTAAGTGCTCATAAATAATCTTTTCAAAGGCCTAAATTCTTATTGAAGAGTGGGTAATCAAATTATATTTCTATGTTTTCTGAAAATTATATCTCTCCATTAGAAACAAAATGAACCAAAATTAAGGGTGAGCACTTTTATTTTCATATTTTATGAAAACTTTTCAGCTTTTTTTTTTTTGCAAATACTTCTATTTAAAACACAAATATTATTAAGTTTCTAACATGAAGCAAATGAAATAGTAGTCATTCTCAAAAACCTCACAGTTTACTTGCAAAAACTATAAACAAGGGAATACCTTGCTAAAATGTAAAATCTAGACAGAATATTCTAGGGAAAGGCATTTCTGTGTGTACAGGAGGTTAATGAAGAAGTTGAAGTCACTCGTTTCATTGAATTAGTTAATTTTGAAGGTCAAAATCACAGAGTAAACAAATGTATGTTTAATTCTTTAGTTTTGAGATTAATAACTGTTTATGTTTCTGAATGTACTGATGTGACATTAAAGATAAGTCTATTAAAACAAATATGTGTATAAGATGAGGTCTGTCTGGAAAAAGTCCAGTCATTTTTAATATGATGAAGATGGTTTGCATGACATCGATATAACCTGGCAGCCAAGGAGAGTAGACTGGAATGCGCATGTGTGAACAATGATGACTTTGTTGTACTAGTCAGTGAGGGTAGTAGACGCTGTTGAGTGAGCATGTGTACTACTCAGCTCTGGCATTCAAAAAGACTGAGTAGAATGAATCTGTATCAAATTTTGCATTAAGCTTGAACATTCTTCCACAGAAACTATTTGGATGATTCAGAAGGCCACAACTAAGGGCAACTGGTGATTGGCAGCTTTATCACAACAATGCACCAGCTCATTTTTCATGTCTTGTGTGGAGTTTTTTTTACAAAACATCAAATCACCCATGTAACTCAGTCCTCCTATAGTCCAGATTTAGCATCCAGGGACTTCTGGATTTTCCCAAAACTAAAATCACCTTTGGAAAGGAAGAGATTTCAGACCATCAGTGAGATTCAGGAAAATACAATGGGGCACGTGATGGTGATGGGGAGAACTGTGTGAGGTCTCAAGGTGCCTATTTTGAAAAGCACTGAGGCGTAATTGTTCTATATTTCTTGTATATTATATCTTCTTCAATAAGTATCTCTATTTTTCATACTACATGACTCAGTACTTTCTGGACAGACCTCGTATGACTTGTATGTGTGTGTGTACATATTTGCATTGTAAAATCAATAACTTTCAAACACCTTTGGCTACATTACTCCAAGCTCCTTACGGGAAAGTTCCTGGTATATTCACATTACACTACTCTCATTTTATCTATATTTTGCTTTTTTGCTTTTTTTCCCCTTAAGGAAGTACCACTACCTTACCTGAGTTAATGGGAAAAGCTGAAATGTAGCTACTCAAACCTATTGGGATTTTGATTTTCCTCACTTACTCTTGCCACATTTTGAATTTATTGGAGAACTTTACTGCAAGCCTGCCAAACCTTTGCCTAAGGTAGACCTACCCAATGTTTGTTGTACTTTATACTTGTAGTAGGAATGACTCTGTGTTCTTCACTTAGAATGTCAGATCACACTGACAGGGATACAGGAATCTGGGTAAAGTGATCTGTACATAAGAAACTCATATGTTTTATACTGTTTTGAGAATTTGAATGTCATAATCATTATCGAATAAAGAGTTATATTTGGGAGACTTTGGAAACAGCCAGATAAATTAAGGCTTTCTTTCTTTAACACATAAGAAATTGACAGTAATTCATTAAAAGAATATTATTAAGCTGACTAGCATAGTCCAGAGTTGAGTGCTAGGTATACAGAGAAACAGTGGAGACACAATTTCTCCCCATAGATACCTGATATTCTTTTTTTAAAAAATTTATTTATTTTT